TCTTATAATTAACCATTAATTATTGTTAAAGACTATTAATTGATAGTTACAAAAAGACTTGCCACCGTTTTTGATTTCGAAGTATACCGCACATAAGGATATTAAGAACTAAACTAAAGCATGTAGTTTTTATTTCACAGAAACCGCTGTCGGTAGCATTACTTATTGAATTATTGGAAACCTAATCAATAATATCGGGTGTCCCAGGAATAATGAGCCTCTCAGTATTTTATCAATATCTTCGGCAATTTCCATTATTCAGACTTGAATTTTTTACCAAAAGATTCCTCATTCAATTCTCCACAAAACTGTATGAAACGTTTTAGTGTAAAAAGTAACTGTGAAAAATTCTGGGCTAAAGACTGTAAGACACCAGAATTACGGATTTTGTAAATTTATTTTGACAGTTGTCATTATCTTAGCTGTGACACGTGCCAGGTACAAACAAACCGAAAGAGGCAGTTTGTAGCTCTTGAAAGGCTCTTTCTTGATGAGAACTAAAAATTCCTTTCGACGCTTTAGCTCTCATGCAGCCAGGCCAACGCCTAACTACCCCACATCAGCGACGAACATATTCGTATGCCTACATTTTTACATTATTACGTTCTCATCAGCGATGACACCAGTTTCTTTTGCCGAACTGAACAAAGAATGCCATTTAATCGGCAATCACTTTGTGCAAGTTCATCCGGTTGAGTTGCGTCCAGTTGTGTCAAACCCTAGAATTGGACTCCGACTAAATGTTGCGCGCAGCATTCCTCGTGTCTCGACGGTGAAAAGCACCACAACCGGTATTAAAATAGTTGTCACTCCCGTGTGGTTCGAGGAAATTAAAGTTACAAATCCAATTCGCTATCCACCAACCATAACGACTTCAAGCAACATCGAACTACGTCGATCATTCGACACTCTTGCCACGTACCGAACGATACGAGACGGGCAGCACAACAAACATATCGATTTTGTTACTGAACCATTCAAACCGAGCGTGAACTCGATTGAGACACTTATTGTAGTACTTGACATGCTCGCTCAATCGAACGGAATGCAGACGAGTTTTACAAATAAACCGTTTAATTACGAACATAGCATGTACCGCGCTGCATGTGGTGTGGTTGATTTGTCCACCGTGCCCTTGCTCAATATTGACGGATATGGACCTCTAGCCACGGCCACGTTTAACCTCAAACTTAATTTGTCTTACGAAGAGGTCACGTCAAGTGAAGAGAAGACGAGTGAATTCGTAATTTCTTTCGTCAATGATATCGCTAAGAAGTTCGAGTGTCTACCTGAGTATGTGCGTGTGTTTGAACTCGCACGTGGTAGTTTAATAGCTAAGTGGGGTTTTACCACAACAGATCAAGAATATACACAGAATCTTGCTAAGAAATTTGTAGAGGAAGCGCAAAAACCATTTTCTGTCGACTTATTGGTGCTTTCAAAAACGGTTCCAGCTAATTATTCTATTCAATGGGAACAAATACCTTCAGTTTTACAGCTGCAGCCAAGTGCCTTTGATCCAAAACACGACCGAGACTACCGCAGCGGGCCAGTCCATGATTCCGAGCAGCGACGGGGTAATCGTCCGTATTACCGTCCGATTGGTTGGTATCGCCATGCATTGAGTGTCATAGATAAATATCCTGGCGATGAGCATTGGTTGGGTATGAATAATGGTCCCGGAGAATGGCCTGTTGCCTACNTAAAGGCCGTGAGGCCCAATATGGCATCTATCTTGCGACACATTGCAACAAAGGAGCAGATGCACAGCGATATGCTGAAACGTTTACAGTAAAAATGCCACCGGGTATGGCGTCCGAGGAAGCAGCATATAAGGTTGTGCTCCAATGTCGTTACAATATTAACACGTTTACTGAACATTCTTGGACCTGGAAATCCGAGCCGTTTGATCCCTTAGCTAAGGAAATACGCGTATATAAGATGGACGGTGTCCGCCCGTACGGTGTCTTGCTGAAAAAAGTGAATCAAAATGCCGAACCTAATTTAACTGGTGTGTGGATCTGTGATGACAATGAGCATAACGTACAAGATGCTGGTACGTATTTCGTTAGTCAATTTGGTGAAAAGGTTTTCTGGTTTGGACGGCAATATAAGGCGCCGTGGAATTTCGCTAATGTTAGCTATGGTACTCTAAGTAGAAATGATAGAAAGTTATCGATACTGTGGGGTGATTTACCACTCGGACATAATAGACTTTTTGGCAGATTAATATTAGAAATATCACCAGATTATCAAATGATGGTAAAAGGAAACGGTAGTGACAAAATATTTGGCGGTACTCACTTTCGTCGAGTACCAAACCAGCATTTAGATAAATTTGAGGTTGATGCCAATATGAAATGGAGCACCACAACCAATGACATGAGCGGTTGTTGGAAAGGGAACGATGGGACAAAATATGCAATTGGTACTTGTCAAAATCAAATATATTGGTTAGGAATCGATGAAACGAACAAGCGATCACATATTGGTGTTGGCACAATCAGTGGCAATATCATTACTGTCAATTGGGGTGATATAATGAGTGCTCAAGAAAGATTTCATGGTGAAATAGAATGCCAGCTCCAATCACCCTCTAAAATAATTGTTGTCAACTGCATTTGCGGTCCTTTTTTTTACAAAAGAGTTAACAAAAATCAGTTGATCACAGTAGGCCATTTTGTCTTTTGTGGCAATTGTCTATTGATGCATGGACACATCAACATAGGTTTTGATTAAAATTAAAGTCCAATCCAATGTCCTAAGCATTAATGCAGGGTTGAAATGAACGTACACTTCTGTAGCATTGAGTTTTCATTAAAGGGTGTGGGTGTGAGGGTATATTTTTCAAAGATTATTCCTAGCTACTTACCACGATCGTTTCGGACCTTGTTTAACGGTTCATCACAAGATAAATTTGGAATAGTAATTAACTGCATACGCATAAATGAGATCTCATAGAAATAGAGAGTAGAAAAGCTAGAGACTAAAGTCAAAGACCTTCAACAGCAATCTAATGCTAACAATTGATTTAAAATTGTCACAGTAAATCTTTAAAAGGGTGTGTTTTTCAAAGATTATCCCAAGCTACTTACGACGAGAGATGTGAATGTGAGAGTGAGGATGTGCTAAGACTCAATATTTCAAGCAGTATATGACGCGTTTCGACTGTTACTAATGCAGTCATCATTAGGTATGTTAGAAATGTTCATGTCAGACTGGGCTGAATTCGGGGTATTTGCCTTAAGAATGGTTTGCCGTGGATGTGGTTGTGTTGGCCATTTCGGCGTGGTTTTTGTTTTGTCATTTGATGAATTTTTAATTTTAGGAGGAAAATTGGTTTTATCTATGCAATAAAGTAGAAATTCGATTTATCACCGGTCGGATTGGTATTTGTTGCGAATGTTGTGTTTCACTTGGCGCTTACTTGTATCTTGCTTTTATGTTCCCTATACTGAAAGGATAGGGTTTAGAAACGGTAATGCACCTGTATGTGTCTGTGTATATGTGTTTGTCCAATTGCCTCCCCCTCCCACTTAACTGTGATCTTGGCACAAATGACCATTCCTGTGGTACAAATGACCATATTTATGTCACAATTGGCCATTTCCATGGCACAGTTGACCATTTATATGGCACAAATGGACATTCCTGTGGTACAAATGGCAATTTCCACGATAGAATCGGCCATCTCTATGACACAAAGGAACATTTTTGTGGTACAAATGGCTATTTCGGTGGCAAAAACCATGGAAGGATCCATGGGTGGAACACGCATGGAATAGCGTCCCTCGTGAGGGAGCCAGTGGGCGGAGCGGAATGAGATCCCCACTGAATTTTTAGACTGTCACCGTAAAATCTCTGAATCACAGGTTTTAGTAGCTAGGTGATACTTAATCTCCCATCCACACTTCTGAAATAGCTTTGTGCTCAGGCTACCGAGAGTTTTCAAGCACGTTGCGCTTATGAATTAGGGAGCTGAGGAGCTCACTGATTAGTCCAAAACTATAGTTCAACCACTGTGCTCCTCACATTCTCTCGGTTTGTCTTCGGGTGCTTTTGTGAAACACAATCTGAAAGGAGTGTTGAAGTGTATATAGGTAGANCATAGCGTAGACCCTCTTTTTATGGGATTGCGAGCAGCGGGTATATCGTGTTTCACATTTTTAATCCCAAAGGGATTGCACTAACAGCTTTTTCTCGTTGTTTTCCTTGTAGATCTTTGATTTTCGTTTGATTCGTGTCTCCTATTAACCTATACGACCACTTCCGGGTTTTCACTCAAATTATGCGCTCATTCCTTTGAAATTTTACGTTCTCTTTCTGACGCCGACAACTGATTTTCTCTCAAGTCGATGCATTCCCATTGATAAGCCGGATCATTCTAGGGCTCAGTGAATCGGAATCCGATGAACGTTAATTGTTTTAAATCCTTGAAACAATTGATTGGCTTTCGTTCTTTGATTATACGGAGTTATCTAGCATTAATATTCTTTATTTCAATATAAAGATTTGTTCGAATTTCAATTGAATTAGATAAATGTAGCCTTTGTGATTCCCAACCTACCTGATGAGTCCCTTAAGCACAGACAAAACACATCTTAGTTTGATTCAAAACAAACCCCACG